ATATTTTTATTTATTTTAGACCAGCTATGGGAAACCCAGGTATTTTATTTCCAAGTCTTAAATACCTGGCTGGAGCATATGTAGCTGTTTGAAGAGGCATCTAATCCAGTAAAACCTACTTAGGTTTTTTGGGGAACTCGCAGAAGCATTTGGAACATTTTTAATCTGTACAGGAGATCGGGTTTTTGCTGCTTGGGTTACACTTCAGATGTGATTCAAGCTGTGTGAATTCAAAGATGGCATAATCCTATCTTAAAATCAGAAATAAACATCTGGAGCGTTAAAGATGCACGCTTTTGGTGCTGAATATTAAATTTCAGAGTTTTTCTTCTTGGCTGATTATACCGTGCTAGGAAGACACTAGGCTGTGATGGGCTTCAGGCCCCTCGGGGCAGAGAAAGTGCATTTCTACCCACTTTTGTGGAAGGCGCTGCGCAGCGGGACTCTGATCTGGTATTTCTGGCCTGTGGTAGGGATCGCGTTTGTTGCAGCATCGTAACATGGAGTACCATTTTTTAATTGTTTCTTGTCGTTGCTGGCCGCAACCCTCGGTCCTTCCTTTAATGTGCTGGCACTCGGCTAGGTTGATTCAACGGGTACCTTTTCATTCGGTTGTAAAACTTGGCAAGCGGCGTGGCCGAAGAACACGCTTTCTCTTTGTTGCCGAGTTTGTTGACATTCTTACGTCGCCGAGTTTTGTTCTTCAGCGCTTGGAGTCCCGCTGGCTTTTGTCTTCTGTTTCCATTCGCTTTCCTCTCTCCCCCAAACGTGCGAGACTGTCTTGGATTTGGAGAAAGCGTGCTCTCCTGTGACAATGCCTTAGGACCAGCTGAGCTAAGAGCGATGTCATTCCTTGTAGTGGGGTGCTCGGGGGGCTGATATCCCCACAGAGGACAGGGAACTGAAAAATGAGGTGTCTCGTCCATGTGAAAAATCCGCTTGGGACTACGCCAGGCGGGGTGGGTGATATTTTGGTAGCGTTGAGAAGTAGTTGGGAAGGGGTTTGTGATTGCTTTTAGGTGAGCTGCTGTGAAAAAAATTGGCTCCTGCCTTCTTACCTGACAGTTTGATTTGTGGACTGCCAAATCGAGGAAACCCTTCTGCCTGAATAAAACATCACCAGTCAGCGTTTAGCACGAGGCGTAGGATGAATATTTGCAAGTGTAACGTAGGGAAAAGCAAAGATGTGGAGAAGGAGGGGTCCAGCACCCAACCGCCTACTTCCTTGCACTCTCCATAGGTATTCTATACATTGTAGAGTATGGGCTGTTCATTTCTGGCCCTAATGCAGCAGGTTTTGGTTCTGACTTCAGGTGTTTTATACCAAATAGATGCCTTTATCACGCTCTTCTGCGTTGCTTGTTCTATGAAGGAAAATCTGGAAAGGAAAGCAAGTCTGAGCAAAGTGTGTATCACTTATTTTGGTACCAGTGATCTTGTACAGTTCATTACAGAACTGCAGATCTTTAATTAATGAGATGTAAATATATTGTAATGATGGCATTTGCATACTGAGCGAGGCTTCGGCACCTTAGGTTGTGATGTATTTTAATTAAAGATTAATTAGAAACGATGGGAATTTCATTTTGCTTAGTATAATTATTTTACATATTTGATGAATATCTGGTAGGTGATGTGCTAGAGAATGCACAATCCTGTATTACCACAGCTGACCGGAGCGACTCTCCGGGCTTTTTGAGCCAGTGTCGGTTTTTCTTAAACATCCATAAAAGTGACAGATTCTGAAGGATTTAAGCGAAGGATTTAAGTGTGAAGGATTTTACCGTTACATAAGGACTTTCTAAATTATGCTTAAAACACTGCCCGTGCCATAACCAGTTATGCCATAACTCCAGGATGATAGCGTCTTGACTCAAAGCCTTGAGTATTAGTAGAGTTGTTATGTGTCCTTAAAGTATGTGGGAGCTGCAAAAATTTGCTGGCCAAAAGGCTACTGAGAGGGGTAGGCTTTCTAGAGAAGCGTTCTCCTCAGAGTATCGTGAGCCGGTAGGTAACACGCAGTGTGTAAGGACAGGCGTATGTAACGAGTCAGTGTTGAAAGAGATGTTTTGGGTTTTTTTATTGTGGTAACTTTTTTTTCCCTTTGGAATCCTTTTTGTTTCATGAAATCTAGTTCTTCCAGAAGCCACGCAGACTGCAAACTCCCGCTGGCGTAATTTTCGGGACTGTACGCAGAAATGGGTGATGCCTCACCTGCAGAGCGTACCGAAAGCTCGGGAGGTAGATGCAACTACCCTGACAAAAACCTTAGTGGTACGGCACGTTACTTCTGGAGTGGGTTTTACCAGACTGTCAAAAGTGACTCGCAGAAGCTGGTGCGAGCGCAG